AGTTTTATCAAATTTTAATTAGATCCCTATAGTTAAAAACACTTTAAAAAAGATCTTTAAAATATAAGAATGTTATAATTAAAATCTTTCACCCACTCACCTCATTAAAATTATGTTTATCCTGAATGAATTTTGTAATATGATAATTACCTTTTATTATGATAATCAATTACCTTTTTATTTTTATTTATTTTAAATATTTATAATTAAATCTTTAATTTAATATGTTTATTACACTAAAACTTAGGATTCCTTTCATGTTTAAATTTATATTATATTTGAGTTTTTAAATTCTTTGATATTTTTAATATACATTTATTCATAAAAATTAAGAATTTTTAATAATAAATATTTTAAATATTTAAATTTTACTATAATTAAAATTCCTAACACATAAATATAATTTAATTTTGAACGTAGGAATGCATTTTTTTTTTGTTCACAATTTTTCTCTGTAATGTATTTTATAGTTGACAACTTGCATTGTATTTTTATTAATTATTCTTAATATCATCAAATAATAATAGATAAAATATTTATGAATATATGTAAATTAAAATTAACTTTCTTTTAGAGAGGAAAATAAAATTAACTTATCAATGTTACAAAATGTAAGTTTTTTTGAAAAACGAATTTTGTTGTTTGCCTAATTTAATTTTTAAATAATTTTAAAAGTCGATTCATATTATGCTTTCAATTGATTTTCATCAACAAAAGGGTTAAGATTTATCTCAACCTCTCATCTCTTTTAATTTAGTCTTTTTAATTTGACTTTAAATATACTTTTATTCCTTGTAAAATAAGCTATTTTTTATTTTAGTTCCTATATTTTTTTTTTGTTTTTCATCCCTTTAATATTAACATTATTATTTTTAGTTCCTAGTAGTATGTATTTTTATTAACTACTTTTGTGTTTATCATATGATCATCTTTTGTGACACACTTACAACTATATTAGATATCATATTAGTATATGAAACTTTTTCTTTACAAATCTATAAACAATGATTATTTATGTACATTAAAATGAACATTAGAGACTAATAATACCGAGTTTGAGTTTTAGAGAGATGAAAAAATATATATATATTTTAGTAGAGGCCAAACCAAAATTTTCTCATCTTTTAGAATCACAAACAATGATTTCAATTTTTAGAAGATAAAAAATAAAAAATAAATTATAAATACTAAAATCAAAATACCCAAATTTTATAGGAACTAAAATCATATTTAAATTTTTTTTTATTTTGAAATTACATTTTAATATTTTATAAAAATTAATAATTATTTTATTACAATATAAATTATTTATTGTAATTGTAAAATATAATTTATATGTTTAAAAAGACTTATTTATTATAATTTTTAAATTACAGTATAATTTTAAAATTTAAAAATACTTTTTTTATGAAATCACAGTTATATAAAATAAATATTTATTTTATACATTATATAGGCTATATATTAGTTAATTTCTAATATTATATACATATAAATTAGAATAATTATCTTATACTTCATATATTTTAAAATATTTATTTATTAAAATTTTAATTGTATAGAATAAACATTAATTTTTTACATTGCACAAACTAAAATTTTAAATTATATGGATAAAAAACAATATTTTTCTCTTAATTAGATGAATAGATATAAATTTTAAAAAAAATATTAAACAATTTAAATCTAAACATAAAAAGAATATTAAGTTTTACTGTAATTAACATATTAAAAATAGAAATTTAATTAGAAACATTAAAAAAATAAAAGTAAAAAGGTAATTAATTAACATATTAAAAAATAATTGTCATGTGACAATATTCAGTTAGCATAAATTAATAGAATTTGAACAGTGGGTGCATAATTTAATTACAAGATTTTTAAAGTATAAGGATATTTTTATTATGTTTTTAACTATAGAAACTTAATTAAAAGTTTGACAAAATTATAGAGACCAATAAATTAATTTAACCTATTTTATACTGTTCTCTACTTCTCTTCCTTTACTTTCCCTCTAAATTTATAATTTTATTACATTTGAAAAAATAATTGCAATAAAAGAAGAAAAAAGTTAATGAATGATTGATATTTAAGATATATAATTAAACTCTAAACTGATAAAAATAGACATTCATACAATGATAAATGATAATATCAATTAGAATGAAATTAAAGTTGAATGTATTTATTTATAAAAAAAAATATAGTTTAAGGATCAATTAAAAATAATAATTATAGTGTTTATTTACAAATAGGATAATTTTATGAATTGGTTAAGAAAAAAATAAAGTTTAGGGTGTAAATTTATTATAAAAAAATATATAAAAAAAAAAATTTCGTGGGTTAATACTATTTTTCAAAAAAAAAGAGAAAGGTTTGTTAATCTTTTGGGAATCTGATTTAACCATCTCGTCAAATTCCTTTTCTTTATAAAATATAAAATGAAATCATCAAAAAAATTATAAAACTCATACGTATTATTTATTTCATTTAAGAAAATTACTTATAAATGAAACTTTTAAAAAAAATCATTATCCTTATTTATCTAGTAGTTAGTTGGTGCAAATATAAACTAAATTAAACTCTTCAAGTGTAAAATATATTGTCTTAAAAAAATTAGAGTTAATCACCAATACACTGCTAGTGTAAAGTTTTTTTACATTGACAACTAATTATATATTTTAATTGTGTCATGTCATTATAAACACATTTACTTTTAACAGTGACATGACACAATTAAAAAATATAATTAGTTGTCAGTGTAAAAAATTTTACACTACAGTATATTGTCGATTAATTCAAAGAATTATTCACAAACCCTCACATAAATGTTTTGAAATACAACAAAATCATCTCAATGATCATAATATTGAGGATACAGAACTAATAATTATGTTTTATAAAAGAGAGAGAGGACTTCTAACTCCTCCTCTTCACTAAATAAAAAGAGAGAAAGAAACTAGTTATTAACATAACGATTTTAAGATAAACATTAAATTCAAATTTAAATTTAATATAAACTCAAAAATTAAATTAATTAATAATTTGAAATATCATTAAACATACAATAACTTTTCACATATTTCAAAAGATAAAAAAATTGAGTAAAAGAAAATATTCAAACATGCAACACCTGTGTTAGTAGCCTCCTCTGCCTGCACCTTGTGCCACCCACGTACGTCACTTTCGCTGCAATAACTTTCGGTCTTATGGTGTCATAAGCAAACTGAAAAAGTAATACCTCATAAGTCATAAATTCAAAAGCATAAACACGAATTGTATAAAAAATATTAAACATACGAGATTATGAGTTATCATATAAATTATTATACAACATGAGAATAATGATTACAAATAAAAAAATAAAAAAAAACTTGTGATGAAAAAATTAAAATTCAGAATTTGATTTCAAGATTTGAATGGAATAAGATATATCATCATTTTAAAAAAAACCAAACAAATTATAGATAAATAAAAAATATTTATGATTTTACATAAACACTTACGAAAATTTATGTAAAAAAAAGTTAATAATATATCACATTATTTCTTTATATTTAATTTTATCAATTTATTTTTTAAATTTATTAATAAATTTTTGTTGACTATTGAAAAAATTGATTATTAATTAATTATTTAAAATTAATTTACTTTCTCTAATAAATTTTTAATAATTTAATTATGTATTTTTTTTGTATTATACACACTAAATAATTTTTTTAATGTCCCTCTAACAGTTGACGTTCTAGACTGTCATCCCACCGGTTTATGCTGAGGACCACCTCTGAGAGTCAACTATTCAATCTTGATTTTCTCTTGTTGTGAAGATCGTGAGCTTCCACTCACACCAATGTCATACAATTTATCATAAAATAAATCTCCCAAACAAATCCTTGTTTGATATCCAAAAACTACTCAAAATATAATCTGATCACACTAAATAACACACAAGAAAAATGTCAACTTTGCACGGTTACTTTTGGGTTTCATGGGTTAAACATTTTTTAAAAAAATATAAAAAATTTCATAAGTGGAATAACTTTTTTTTTTTTTTACGGATCACACACTACTAACAACTATATTAAGATTTTACCTTTGGAATATTATTTAATATTTTTCGTTGAATAATCTTTGTTTGGATAAAGGAACAACAATCATTTGACTAATAAGCACAAAAAACATGAAGCCTTTATACAATCCACTCGAGCAACACTAGAGTAAAGTTTGGTGCTAGTTACAAAGAAGACAAGAATAGTTTTGTGAGAGAGTACAAAACCTGAATTTTCATGCATTAACATAAATTAGGTTAATGTGTCCTTTTATAGACTAATATTTAAGGTGATTTGATTTTTTATTGGGTTTGTATAATACAAGCCTAATCACTTGTCCAATTTTAATTAAATCTATTGTCAATTAATTAATTATATTTAATTAATTAACCATTAAATAAAATCACATTTAATTCAAATTGACGAATAATCATAAAATTATTTATACATTAATTTGAATTAATAAAATGAAGTATCAAATAATTTTCAAAATTTTTAAAAATTTGCAGATTTGATATATACATTAAGAACTTTAAGTTCAACGGTTGGATCGTTAAAATTTAATATAGAACATAAATTATTGAATTGAATAAATTTAGATATATTTATTTTTATATAAATGAAATCCTCCTCATTATAAATATTATAAATTATTGATGATACGTGGTATTCTAGTTCAAAAATTGGGGTTAGTACTCTAGTGATTTTTCTGTGAATAAGTTCTTTTGTATTTAGTAGGGAATATGGGCCTTCCTAATCCATCAGTTTCTCCTTATTAATTCTAGAGTTTTGGCTTTCATAAATGGACGAAAATCCTTTGCCTCCTAATCCGTCGTCTCCAATTGCTAAATCTCTCTAATCACGGAATGTCACATCAATTAATAGCCACATAAATTTAATTTAAGTTAAATTAAAAGTTAACGGAAACACAGTTACATCTTGGGCTTGCTCTAACTTACGTTCAAGAACATTAGACCGTATTTGTATAGCTAAAAACTTCACAAGTTTCTTTGACTTAAGGGTCAAGCCTTAATCGTATATCATTCCACGTCAAGTTGAATGCATGCAAACATATGCCACTGCCACAACAATCATGGAAAATTCTCTAAACCTTGAATATGGGCACTGTTGCACTCTCCATAAGATCAACGGAGTTTAAGCAAAATGGTGTTCCATCCTTGGACATTAAGAGCATCCAAACACGGCCTTATGATCATAAACATGAAGCAACCATTGATGAGAAAATGTGTATGTTGAGATGAAAAGCGACGGAGCGAGAGAACGTGAAACGGATCATGAAGAGAACGTAACCCAGAACATGCCAAAGATGTAACCGTAACTTAACTCCGTTATTTTTATTTTTATTTTTTTAACCTAAATTAAGTTAATGCTGTTATTATTAACGTGACATTTAGTGATTGAAGGAACAAGAATTGGAGACGAATTAGGAGACAGAAATTTCATCTGTGGTAGAGATGAAATCTCGAGGCAGTTCTATGTTCTGGTTGTTACATGATCCAATCTCAGGTTCAAGTTCTTCTCTTTGTTATCCCTCTTTGTATGTATTTTAGTTTCTTTTCTTCCTTAGTTATTTTTTTTCTTTCTTGGCATAAATTCACTTTTAATTATATAATTTTATTAATTTGCAATTTTGGTCTCCAAAAAATTATGTTGTGAACTTGGATTTTATAGTTTTTAAAATTTAGGAATGTGGGTTTGTTAATTAACATGTTATATAAAATTAAAAAGAAAATACTAATGTGCCTGACAATAATATTATTGGATAGTTAGTTAGTCAAGTACAAACATAATAGTATTACAAATTTTAAAAATTGTTTTAATAGATAGTAAGTTTTAGTTAAAAAAACATGTTTAAGTAATTGTTAGATAATTTGTCAATATTTTTTTTATTTAATTTTGGATAGTTTGTTAATTGAATCAATATTGTTTAATTTTAAGATTTATAAAACTAAATTCATAATAAAAAAATTTGGAGACTAGAACTATACATTCTTGAAACTATAGGGATCAAAAGTAAATTTAACTCTTCTTTCTTTTTTAACATACATAATACAAATATTTTTATTTACACATGAAAATAAAATGTAACCTCTCATCTAAAGTAACTGGTTTCTCCACTTAAAAACTTATACTTCGATTATTAATTATACAAATATTTTAGGACAGGTACTCGTGTAATATAAACAGAGCAAGCACACTCAAAAACATTTTTTAAGATTACAAGACTAAAAACATAGGAATTATTTTCTATTTTCTAAAACTCTTCCTTAAATTGAAACTTATCCTGGCTACAAATAAGCAGAATGAGCACAAGAAATAAAAAGTAAAACTAAATTAAAAATACAATGGACTTTATAAACCTCGTAGTATTGAATACACGTCTCAAAAACAATATTGCATAAAGAACACAGCAAAATGAGGCACTAATGTTTGTTTTACAATTGGAGATACAAAAATGTCGAATTCACGAAACCCTAAGAATTTTAGGCAATAAAAGTTTTTATTATTGATCTGAGCAAAGGCAATCAAGTCAAAACTGGATGTGAATAGAGATAATTAATTGCTGCATAACATTGGCCAAAATACAAAGCAATCCACATAGTTGTGAATTGCTTTAAACAGAACATGTTATTAGAACCATAAAGTATCAAGAACATAATCATTGAAACCAGAAATATGGACAAACATAGAAGGTTCTGAATAAAGTTATGTTTGGATAATTTCTTTAGGAAGTACTTCTATGAAAAAACAAAAAGTTATTTCATAGGACAAAATTAGAGAAATTAATATAAGATAATTTTCACAAATTAACTCATGTATTAATTTTTTTTATATGGAGAAGTACTTTATCTTTCCTTTCTTTTTATTTTTGTCCCTTAAAAACATATCTAGAAAATTTTATCTAAACAGGTTTAAAACAAAACTATATTTAGAGAAGAACTAAACCTAATTCACTCCTAAAAACTAGCTTTAAGAAAGAAGATTGTAAGTCTTATAAAATTATTTTCCCATATTCTTAACTAATCTGAGACATGCAGAAAGGTTATATACTTTGGATATAGTTCTAACTTTTGGGTTGATAAAATTGAGCATGATACACCCTTTGGGTCTTTTACTTCTTTATGTGGTGCAATTGCAATATTATAAAAGAACAAATGTTTATTGTTTTTAATTTGTTCCTGTTTTTCTTTTTGTTGTATAACTATAATGTGTCATTGTAATGATCGATTCTTCTACAGTTCTATTGGTCTTGTTCAACAAAGAAGCCCTCTCCTCTTACAACTTCCCATACGCAAATATCATTGCACTTGCTCAGGTAATTTTTTTTAATTAATTAAATTTTATTATTTTAAAAAGAAAATATCAAAAATAAATGTCACCATCCATTACTTTAAAAAAAATGGATTTTTACTCTTTTGGGAATCTGATTCAACAAAATCGTCAAATTCTTTTTCTTTATAAAATGAAACCGTCAAAACAATATTTATATAACTAATGTATTATCATATTTCATTTAATAAAAAATACTTATAAATCATTCTATTAATTTATACGATGATAAATGATTTTAGAAAACAAAACATGTATAAAAATTGATAATTATTCGAAAATATGATTTACCAAATTTTAAATTCTGAATAAGCAATTAATTATCTCCTTTTTATTATTTTATATTTATAAGTTAACTGTTAGTTTTAGACTAAATTACATTTTCGTTTTCTTTATGCTATCAAATATGCAATTTTAATTCCTATATTTTTAAATTAACAGTTTTAGTATCTCAATATTAACAAAATTTGAAGTTTTATTCTTTCACTAAATGTTTATACATTAATTCTTAAAATTGTAACATATGTGATATGTGATGATAGATAGCACGATTATTAATATTTAAAGATATTTAGACTAAATTACATTCTTAAATATCTTTTTTAATTTTATTATATTTTTAGATAAAAATAAAAATAAAAAATGAAATTTAGTCTAGATATTAATAATATGTCATTTATTTAATGTTGGATCGCTACCAATCTTACAAAAAAAAAATTAACACCATACTAATGTTATAATTTTAAGAATTAACATTGAACATTTAGTGAAGGAACCAAAATTGTGAGTTTTGTAAAATTAAGGGACTAAAATTATAGAATTGAAAATAAATAGATCAAAATTACAAATTTAATATTATAAAAAATTGAAAGTATTATTTAGAATTAGTTTTATTAAATATTTTAATTCACCACTTAGCTTATTAATTAATTAACTTTCAACCTTCATGGCCACTATTAGAATTTCTCTTATTACATGCGAATTTTGCGTAAAAATTCACAGTAAACGTTATTCTAACAAAATTATTTTACAAAATTTTATCTCTAGAAAATACCTTCGTGGATAATATATTTTTGCAAATTTTAAAATTCGCAAGAAATTTTTTTATGAAAAAAAATTTGCAGAAAAGTTTCTTGTGAAATTTTTTACAAATTTTTTTGCAAGAAATTCTAAAGGAAAATTTCGTACAAAAAAAATCAAAAAATTACTATTAATGCTTATAATAAATTCATCCGAAGCATAAAGAAATTTGCTTCCACACCTCTAACATGTGATAGATAACTTTTTAAAGTCTTGGATTATAAATTATAGATCTACAACTCAACTATACAAAATCAACTTGTAAGGTGAGTAACCACTAGGGTTAGCCTAGTGGTTGGGTGGGTAGGGGTTGGGGTAGTTAGAAACATGAGGACCTAGGTTCAATCTTCATTGTGACCATCTTTGTAATCTTTCCTATCTTTACCAAAAAAAAACTTGTAAGGTGAGTGTTGTCCCAACTTATATACTATTTAATTGTTTTATTTCAAATCGATGTGAGAATTGAGGAAAATCTTTTAATTCTTAAACTTATATATATATATATATTTTTTCTACTATTTAATAAACATTACTTGTGAATTTATTTTTGCAAGAAAATCTGCAAGAAATAAGATAAAATTCTTACAACATTTTCTATAAATTTTTATCATGAAATTTTTTTTTCTATGATCATTAAAATTGTAGCAAAATTTACAAAAAAGAAAATTGTAGATTATTTTTTATAAAAAAAATTGTAAGAAATTTCTGTAAATTATTTTTAAAAATTATTATTGCAAGAAAATTCGCAATAAAAATCTGCAAATATTTTTTTTAGGAAAATTCACAAAAAAAATGACATTTTTTTAATAGTGAGTTATTTTTTCATCTTTTAATCAATCTTCTAATTTTTAACTAACGTATTTTCTTGGTGTCAAAAAAGCTAAAGTATTTTCTAACTTTTTTCTGAACCTACCTTATTAGAAAAAATAATTGGTTAATTATCGGTTTGTAAAAACAAAAAAATATGGACGTAATGTTTAGAATTTATTTTTGGATCCACAATCATAGTAATTTTACCGAATCGGAAACGATTAATTATCTCCCCTAATAAACCAGATACGCGTGACCTTTTTTTTTTTTTGTTAAAACAATATTTTGTTTAGTTACAAGAATATATATATATATATATATATATAATTTTCGTTTACAATAATATTTATATTTGTAGAATATTCGTTCTTTTTGTATATTGGTTACAAGAATTTTTGTTCTTTGAAAAAGGTAAAAATAAAATTGTTTTCTCACTGTTATATTTGTCTTTTTTATTTAGTACTGATAGGAGAAAGACACACTTCTCAACTATACATGTATGATTTTGAAAGGTTTTGAGAGAAAATGGTTATAATAAAAAAAAACTGAGATTTGACTTGAGAGTAAATAATCTTATAAATTAGTAGAGGTGAGTAGTTATTTTTTAAATAAAGAATGAGGAATTTTAAAATAGATGAAAACGAAATTAAAGGTAAATATGTATAATAAAAATAGAACAAATAGATATTATTAACTAAATATCTCCTTTATATAAATTTATTCAACTTACATACCTAATAGAAGAAATTTCAGCCAAAAGGGTTAATGTCGTAAGAAAAACTAATTAAATTCAACCATAAAAAAAAATACTATAAATATCAGTATCATAAATAAGATTGTCTTGTTCATGAGCGTATCTTTGACTTAGGTATTAATTAAAAACAGAAAAAAAAAGAATAACGGATGTACTTTACAGAGTAACATTTATGACTCAATGTTGATCAAAAACACCTTTTATTACCCAAATCACATATTGGCGATTTTTTTTTATTTTTTTATTTTTTGGATTAAACATATTGGATATTTTGTTTATGTTGAAATATAAGGTAAAAAATCAGTGGGGAGCATGCTACAAATTTACTTGCCACTTACATCATTTCTCACTCTCTCTCACTACTTCTCTTTTGGTTACCTATAAAATAACATTTCTGGCCTCAAATTTGAAGGCAAATTAAGAAGACACTGACACACACACTGAGCCACAAGGAAAGAAAAACATATCAGTATTGGTACGTGAATTTTGTTAATGGAATCCGAGAAGAATTTGCTGCTTCCACTCTCTGATAATCACAAACAGAGTGAAGAGGGACAAAGAAAAGTTTCAACCATGACAAGAAAAGGAGTCATCGCTGCTTTATCTTATATGGCCTCTTCGGGTTTGTTTTTACTTCTTTAACTATACTTGTTCTTTCTTTCTTATGTATATTACTATTTGATATCTTTGGCCATGGATTCCTAATCTTCTGTTTAGTTCCCTTGCTCTACATATTCAACCTTGTTTTTTTTTTATTTAAAGAATTATTTTAATGGTAAATATTAATAAATTAGTTATTTATGTTAGTAGGGGATTCTAACTCACTCACTCCCTTCATATCACTTTCTTATGTTGCTGGTCGTACTACCTAGACCACCTTATAACTCTAATATTCAACCTTATGTAATTTATAAAAATTATTTACTTGCTTTTTCCTTAAATTTTCTTAAGAATGTGATTATAAGCTTATATAAAGTTAAAATTGTTACTTACTTATCATGACTAATACACCTTAATAGTCGATGCGAGATCTCTAATATATCTCTCGTATTGAATATTTAACATAGTATAGATATCTATAAATGATTTGATAATAACTTGATAGCAAATATTTATTTATTTGCTGGTTTTAGGATAGATTTAGATGCTATTTTAAGGGAGTGATTTAGAGACATACTAAAGTTTTCAAAATTAACATATAAAGTGAAGAGTGTTTTCGTTCATATACATTATTTTAATCTTATCTTTAATCAACGTGGAATAATTGACTAAATATAGTGCCCAAAATAGTTTGATAAATCATGTGTTCAATTATCAAATGATTTGATAAACCATTATGAAAAGATTAATTAATGATTAATTTGATGAATCATTCTCTCAGTTAGTCCAGGATTACTTGCAATTTACACAGTTTCCTGACCCCAGAGATTATTTAAGAGAATGGGAGTGAAAATATGAAATGACATGGAAATGACAATATCTGATTCCAAACCACCCTTTGCTTCATGCTCAACCGAAGAATGTGATATACATTGTTCTGGAGTCTGCAAAAATTAATATTAAATAAGTCAAAGAACAATTCAAAACAGAATTGAAGATGAGATTATTCACAAGTTGATGACAAGGGATAAACCTGTCACATTTAGAAACCAATTTACATAGACGTGTACTTTTAAAGAGCAATAAGTAGTATTAAAGGATCATCAAGTAGTTATGTATTAACTCGTTGAAAATAAGTGAGTGGATAGGGAGCAACTCGTGAAAAATATTTTAGGATTGGCATTAGGCACTGTTGTGACCAATTGTTACAATACATATAAGCAATAGAGAATATCTGCTTTTAGGATGTGATCCATAAACTGTTATGATAATACAAGAAAATGTTAATAGTGCAAGGAATGAATGTCTGTGTTATTGTAACGAGTGCTCCATTAAATAAAATTTACAAGTGTCAACGTCACGAATATATATACAAAATTCAAGACTTAGCTGGCTGGCATTTTTTTTCTTCATGTTTTGGCATATCATTGGTTATATTTATTAATTTATTGTATTATTATTATTATTATTATTATTATTATTATTATTATTATTATTATTATTATTAATTTTCTCTTGTTTCTACACATAGACTAGAAAATAGGATATACATTAAACAATTTTCTTTTTATGAAGTGACCCCACGGAGTCTATTGTTGTCGCGCGTGCATATTGTAAAAGCAAGTGACTGTGTTCACAGGGACGGGTCGACATGCAGTGCTATGGCACAGTGGCTACATATACATGTGACGTTCCATTGTTACTGATAAGAATATCCTAAAATCTGTTCAACCCCAAAAACTTATCTTAAATATCATCAATAGTTTTTGTAAGCTAAGTGGTTCTTGCACACTCTTTTGAGTGTCTACACTAGTTGTGATGTGTTTCATGGAAAAGAAAGAAATAGAGAGTAAATGAAAATAGGAAAGAGAGCATATCTCAAAACACACCAAAATGAGGCACTAATGTTGGCTTCAAATTCACGAGACCTTAAAAAAATTTTAGGCAATAGAAGTTTTATGATTAATCTGATCAAAGGCAAAGAAAACTGCAGAGATAATTGCAGCAAAACATTGTTCAGAAAATACAGCAATCCAGTCAGGTGTCTTATCGAAATTGAACAGATCATGTTATTACAGCCAAACTGGATCAAGAACATTACCATTGAAACTGGAAACAAGGCCAACAGAGGCAGTGCTGAATAAAACCAGCAATATTTAGAGATGAACTAAACTTAATTCACTTCTAAAAACTAGCTTTTTAAGAAAGAAGATCTTCCAAGTGTTATAAAAATATTCCTAACTAATTAGGGAACTGAAGTTTGATTACAACAATTTGTATTGCAGAAAGTTATATACTTTGAAAAGTCCTAACTTTTGTGTTGATAAAATTTTCCATCTTCAGGATGGCATTGCCCTTTCGGTGATTGACTTCTTTATGTGTTGCAATTGCAAATTATAAAAGAACTGATGCTTATTGTTTTCAATATGTGCCTGGTTGAATTTTGCTGTATGTTTACAATGTGTCATTGTAATGATTGATTCTTCTACAGTTCTATTGGTCTTGTTCAACAAAGCAGCCCTCTCCTCTTACAGCTTCCCACATGCAAATGTCATGACACTTGCCCAGGTAGTAATTTTTTCAAAATGATTTTTGATTATCTCCTTGAGCTAATGCTTAAGGTCCTACTGTAATTTCTCAACACTTTTCATTGGGCCTGCTGCATAAGTAAATTTTTCTAGAAACGCTATTAGAGGAGAAAAATAAAAAGGAAAAATGAAATAAGTTTTTTTATAAATTAAAATTAACTTATGCATAAATTAATTTGTAGAAACTTTTTCCTATTAATTTCTTTGAAATCCTATTTTTAACTCATGATTTCAAATTTTCTTCCAATTTTTCTTTTCTAGAAGTGATTTTTGGAGAAGTTTATCCAGACCAGACAAATTCATTATTGACCAAGCTCCATTGAGGCCATTCTATATGATACACATTCCGTCTCTTACTATAAAAGCTTACAACTAATATGTGTCTCAATAGTTGTATATCATGCTGAAAAGTTGTTTGGTGTTTGTTTCAGATGGTGTTTGCATTTATTATTCTCTATGTGTTGAAATCCTTGAAGATAATTTCTTTCACAACTGGTGAATCGCAGAGCAGTTCTAAGAATTCAGCAATATTTGTGCCCTTTGGGACATTAGTCCAGACACTTCCTCTTGCTTTAACTTATTTGCTTTTCATGGTAAGCATTGGTAATTATTTTGAGCCTTTTTCCTTGACACTTGAGTTTTCTCCAACCATTCTCCATAGTCCATACCCTTTTGGTAATAGGTAGTGACCATGGAAGCAGTGCGTGGCATAAACATTCCCATGTACACCACACTTAGGCGAACAGTAGTGGCCTTCACAATGGTTATGGAGTATTTTCTGTCGGGGCAGAGTCATTCAAGATGTGTTGTTGGAAGGTATGCCAATCTTACTATTGTTCATGCATTGTGGATCTGGTAAAACAGTAAAACTTTTCGTAATATAGATGATAGTAAAATGTAAAAGTTAGAGATTATAATAACAATAAATTTATATATGTCAACCACTAAAATGCCAGTAAATTATACAAGTTGTGGGAGACTTAAGTTTTTACTAATAATATACGTGACAATAACATGTATTTAATAAGCAAAGAGGCAGTGTAGTGTCTTGCTTTTGATTCTTTCTTACATTCAATTTTTGGGCTATTATGTTACTTTGCCTAACGTACCAAGGGATTTATCAGTGTTGGAGTAATCATAGCTGGTGCTTTTGTTGCTGGAGCTCGTGACTTGTCATTTGATGCGTATGCCTATTTTGTTGTATTTATAGAAAACATGTGTAAGGCAGTGTACCTTGCTTCTGTTTCTCGTGTTGGTAAGATTTCGTCATTTTCTTGTTTTGTCTCATTCTTTTGAATTAATATTTTAGGCATTCTTCATTGAATTTTGGCACATTACTACTTTTCGTAGGTAAATCCAGTGGCCTTAATATTTTTGGTATTGTATGGTGCAATGGTAAGATATAGTGATCTTGGGGTTTTGTTTAAACTCCCACGTCATTTGTTTTAATTTGGCTAAATAATTGCACTCATCTTAACTTATTATTTTATATTTAGTGGTGATTTGTGCACCAATCTTGTTTCTCTGGTCATTACTCAGAGGAGACCTCCAAGCAACACTGAACTTCCCATACTTGTTCTACACTGGATTTCAGGTGCTTCAATGTTTTCTAAACTTGCACAAATTGAATTCTAATACTTCCATCACAAACCGTTAGAGCACTAAAACATTTCATTACTTTTTTACTAGTTATGGTTGCTTGTTTTAGTGCGTAATATTCTGACGTAATTATATTTACTTATTGTGATGATGTCCTACTAAGTATTTGATTTTAGACAAATTTTCATATATAATGATTGTGAGTGCATATGTTCCGATGATAGTATGTATGAGCATGTTGCATAACTATTATTTTTTTATGTATTTCTCTTATACATGAATGAAAATATGTAAAATGGTATAGCCATTCATAAATATGAGATTGCTCTATTTTCTCTATCTCTCTTTTTATTTTTTAATGATTTTTATGTTTTATGATTCTGCTGCTATATTGCATGTTTTAACACAAACTTGAATGGCCTGATGAATGTTCTGATTATTTACAATTTATCAGGTTTTCAATTCATAAGAGCTACTGCATATGTTTATGTCACGCATTTTCAGATTATACGATTATCATTATATCTGTCAATTGATAATTTGGAGGCATTATATGATTTTCTCCTTTGGAATCTTGGGCAGGTTGTGCTGCTTCTTTCCTGTGCTTTTACTTTCTTTCTAAACTACATCGTAGTTTTGAATACAACCATCAACTCGGCACTTACACAGGCAATCTGTGGTAATTTAAAGGTTAGTGATTATTTTTTTTATCTATTGAAAATATTACAAAGAGGTGACGAGGATCAAACTTAGCTATTTCAACTCCATCTTTTTAACTACTAGATTAACTCTATGCTTATAAATAAAAAATAAAAATAAAAAAAAATAAATAAAACTAGATTTACTCTAGTGTTTTTATTATTATTATTATTATTATTTCTAGAAAAGGAGTTTTTTTCATAACTTGTTGATATGTCTCTTTACCCATTATTATATTTGCCATTCCTTGATTATCAAAACTACCTAAATATTTTGCTGACAGCACTAACCGTTAGCTTAAACCTTTTGTTTTCGTAACATAGTGGGGTCAACTTGTTCTGTACGTGATGTAACCTTATGTGTACCAATTAAGAGCAATTAAGAGCGTGTTTGCTTCCATGTTTTGAACACAATTTTTTACGTTGAATCAGAAATTAATAACTGTAGCTTTCACGTTTTCTAAGATGAATTACGTGATTTTCATGTTTTTAACGTGTTTTCAAGCACACACTTAGCTGTAAAAAATGAATTTTAAATGACTCTCATCCTAACTCTCACTTCTTAATACTGTTATTATTATTACTTAAAATTACAAAATTTTAATTAGTTTTATTATCAAATCAGGAAAGATTTATTAAATCAAATATGAAATTCACAAAATTTATAATCTTCAATAAATTTCTACTAATAAGAGTGTTATATTGTCCAAGCTTATGTTGCATTTGGTAGATGTTTGACAATTAATTTGTTGCTTCTCAAGATTCCATAAATATTAAGTTTCATGATCTTTATGTCTGATCCAGGATGTTTTAACAAGTGGTCTTGGTTGGTTATTATTCGGAGGACTTCCATTTGATTTGGTAAAGACAAATTCCTTTGTAATTTCTTGATTGCTGGTGTCCCATTTCACTGTGTTCATTAAACCTATTTCTTATGCTTTGTTCACAGTTCAATATTCTTGGACAAATACTTGGCTTCATTGGGTCCTGTTTGTATGCCTATTGTAAACTCCAAGGAATATGAGGATGAGTGGATAGATGACCTTTCATTCAAGAGACATCAAGAAACGACAAGCATAATACAGTCTCTCTACAAGTTTTTTTAGTTTTTAATAGTCAAAAGAGAAAGATAAATATCAGATTATATTAAAAAATTACAGCAAAAAATGTGTTTTGTTAGATAAGTATACCTGGGGAATGATAATAGAAATTATAAAGATGTGAAAGTGAGTCCAACACGATGGATTAATTTGATTACTACAATTCTGGGTCAAACACGATTAGAAAAAAAAAAGGAAAAAAAAAAGTCAATTTTTGACTAAATTTTAATCCAGCTCACTTAATTCTTCAATCATGAGTTCAAGCAAAAGTAAGCCGAGTTAGTTAGTTTAATCCACTATAATTATAAAAAAAATTATGTATGATATTTTCTTTAATTGTCATTTAAAATTTTGATTGATATTTTTTTCTTATTTTTCTTTGAATAAATGATAAATTTGATTTCTTGATAAAAAGTTGTACCTTTTATTTTTTATTTATTAAAAAAAGAAACATGCATTAATTTTTTTTAATGTTTTTTAAAAATATCTAGTAAACCAACTCACCTAACTCATCAATTTGTGGTGTGATGAGCTAGGTTGGAAATGTCTTGGCTCACCATAAGGTGAATCAGATTGTGTTGGTCCATTTCAAACATTAAAGTGAACTAGATTAACTCAGTTTGACACTTCTAAAAAATTAGTTCATGAAATGTATTTAATATAAATTAAAAGTTAAGTAACAGTTTAATCACTATGTTCAAGTTTTGGATATATGTAATTATATTTAAAATTTAAGAGAAATATTCCAGTTTATTTCATGAAAGATATCTCTATTCTATTTAAAATATCAAAAAGTGTTGTTTAATGATATTATACATAAGAAAAAAAAAGTCAAATCAATTAAATCTATATTTTTATATTTAAAACTATAATATTCATAATCTGTAACTATAATAAAAATAATAATAATTTTTTTTTTACATATTTTCAAATCACTCTTAATTTTTTAAGAGGATTCCTTCAGTGCCCCTTCAGTGCCTCGCAAAGCTTCCTAGCAGAATGCTACATGCACAAAGCCTTCGAGCACCGTGAAGGTGTAGGAGGAAGGGGCAACGCAAGAAAGGAGCATGCAGCAGTATATATAAAATGATGGCGTCGAGGGAAAAACCAAATTTTGAAGAGGCTTTGATGAGGGAATTGAAGAGAGAAGAATCTGGGTGGGTGTGGGAGCAGAAGAGTTGGCAAGTGTAAGCGATGGAATCGACGGCGCAGGATAGTGTGAGGAGCTTGGTGAGGAGAGTGCAGCTATGGTGGGAGCCTGTGAAGATGAGGTAAGCGTGAGCTTGGCAATTGAATTCGCAATTCGACCCGTGGAGCGATGCGCTGCGACCCGACAAGAAAGATCCAAGAGCTAAAGTTGAAAGAGGCATGATGACATGTTTGGTCAAAAATTCAAATGACATGTTTATTCTTTCTTTTTCCTACTTTTCAAGACCGTTCAAAAATTATCCTTAAAACTACAACTATCTTAAAACACCTTAAATTGTTAACCACACATTTTTATTTTTTTTTTATTTTTTAAAAATACACATAATGTCTTTTTAACACTAATAAAACATAAGGACAATTTCATTAAAAAAAAACTCACATGAATTTCTTTACTATATTTTTAATAATATTTTACACTTTCTTATAATATCATATCATTCTAACTTTGAAAAGTTAAATCAATTTTTTTTCTCTAGTTAAGAAATTTACTAAATAGATAACATTTATATATTTGACTTAGAATTTGTATGTTGACAATCACACACCAAATGTTTGATGTCTAAATAAGATAATACTTGGTTATGACATATGAGAGTTATACATATACACATGGATCATCTAAATAAACTTGTTAAAAAGGAACTAGTAAGAGGACTTCCTAAACTCATGTTCTATAAGGATAATTTATGTGATTATTGTCAAAAGGATAAGTATGTAAAGGCTAGTTTCAAAAGAAAAAATGTTATTTCAATTTTAAGACCTTTACAACTCATTCACATGGACTTGTTTGGTCTTCCTAGAACCATGAGCATAGGTGGTAATTACTATGGTTTGGTAATAGTAGATGATTACTCTATATTTACTTGGGTTATTTTTTTAGCTATAAAATGTGATGCTTATAATGCTTTTAAGAAATTTGTCAAGATTGTTCAAAATGAAAAGAATTCTAACATTGTATCCATTAGGAGTGACCATGGTGGTGAATTCTAAAATGATTTATTCCAAAAGTTTTGTGAAAAACATGGCATAGATCACAATTTTTCTACTCCAAGAACCCCTCAACAAGATGGGGTTGTTGAAAGGAAAATATATCTCTAGAAGAGTTAGCAAGAACTATGTTAAAGGAAAATGATTTTCCAAAATACTTTTGGATTGATGCAATAAATATTGCATGTCATGTATTGAATAAGATATTAATTAGGCCTATTTTAAAGAAAACTCCTTATGAACTTTATAAAGGAAGAAAGCCTAATATATCTTACTTCAAGGTGTTTGGATGCAAATGCTTTGTTTTAAACAATGGAAAAGAACAACTTGGGAAATTTGACTCAAAAGCTGATGAAGTTGTCTTTCTAGGTTACTCATTGCATAGTAAAGCATATAGAGTGTTTAACAAAAGAACTCTTGTTGTTGAAGAATCTGTGCATGGTGAAATTGATGAATCTAAGACCAATGTAGATAAGTATGTAAACATTGATGATATTGTAGAGTTGTTAGATAACACTTATATTGATAGTGAACCCATAGATAAGAAAAATAAGAGTGAACCTAGTAAAACCATATAGAAAGCTGGTGAAGATTTTCCTAAGGCGTGGAAAACTACCCAAGATTTATCATTGGACAATATTATTGGAGATATTGGAGAGGGTGTAACAACTAGACATTCCATTAGGAACATTTGCAATACAATGGCTTTTGTATCACAAATAGAACTAAAATCCATAAAAGAAGCTATTATAGATGAACATTGGATGGTTGTTATGTAAGAGGAACTAAATCAATTCAAGAGGAATGATGTTTGGGGTTTAGTCCCTTTTCCAAATAATCACCCTATACTAGGTACTAAGTGGGTTTTAAGAAATAAGCTTGATGAATCGGGAGTCATTATTAGAAACAAGGCTAAGCTAGTAGCTAAGGATTATAATCAAGAAGAAGGAATAAATCATGATGAGACTTATGCCCCTATAGTTAAGCAATAAGATTGTTGTTAGCCTATGCATCTATAATGAATTTCAAGCTATATCAAATGGATGTTAAGAGTGCTTTCTTAAATGGTTTTATACAAGAAGAAGTATATGTTCACCATCCCTCTAGTTTCATTGATTATAAATTCCCTAATCATGTATTCAAACTCAAAAAGGCACTTTATGGATTAAAGTAAACACCTAGGTCTTGGTATGCTAGGTTAAGCAAATTCTTACTTGATAATGGATATGTGAGAGGTAAAATAGATAATACTATTTTGTAAAAAGAATGAACAAATACATTATGTTGGTTCAAATCTATGTTGATGAAATAGTATTTGGAGCTACTAATCCCTCTTTATGTCAAGATTTTGCTAAGGCCATGCAAGGTGAGTTTGAATTGTCAATGATGGGGTGAGTTAACATTCTTTTTAGGACTACAAATTAAGCAACTCAAGAATGGGATCTTCATAAATTTATCAAAATATTGCAATGAATTATTGAAGAAGCTTGGTATGGAAAGTTGTAAAGAGGCTAGCACACCAATCTCAACTTCATGCTATCTTGATTTGGGTGAAAGAGGTCCTGCTATAGAAACTTCAAAGTATAGAGGTATTATTAGGCCTTTCTTATATCTTATAGCTAGTAGACTTGATATAATGTTTAGGGTATGCTTGTGTGCGAGATTTCAAGCAAATCCTAAAGAATTTCATATGATTGTCATCAAAAGAATTTTGAAATACTTGAGAGTAACTATTGATGTAGGATTGTGGTTTCCAAAAGGTGAAGTTAGGCGGAAAACACATAGAAGGGGGGGTTGAATATTTGTGAGTGTGAACAAGGGCATTTCTACCAGCTTTTCACAAGAAGACTTTCTTTTGTCCTATGCACTTTTAGATACCAGACGGTTACGCAGAATTTTCTTGACACAAGGTCACTTTGAAAGATTTCTCGTCTGCTGAAGGAAAATGGTTCATATAATAATAATGATTAAAGTTCTTGCACTTTCCTTTTCAAGATAGTTTCATTTGAGGATAAGCAGCAGATAAAGCTCTTCAGTGTGATATATATGTTAAGCAAAATTTGCGTCTTCATCTGAAAAATAGTTTTAGTGAAGAATAGACATTAGATGAAGGTTTCAACATGATTTGTCAATTAAGAAGATTTTGCGTCTGAAACATAAATAAAACAATGCAATCATTTTTATATTGGTTTGCTCAACTGAGCTACGTCCAGTTTCCTTCAACTAAAGGGTTCCACTAAATATGCAATTAAGTACATAAGTATTGTCGACCACTTCTAGCCCGTTGACTTCACTCATCAATGCTTGTATCTTCTTTTCAGCCTCTTTAGGCTAGCATCGAGTATTATCATCCACTCTTGGACCTGAGTATTCTCGACCACTCCTAGCCCGTTGGCTTCACTCACCAACGCTAGTATTCTTAAATCACTTCTGGTTCTCCAAGTATTCTCGACCACTCCTGGCCCGTCGGCTTCACTCACCAACACTAGTATATTCTTTTCAGCCACTTCTGGCTAGCAATGAGTATTATGGACCACCCAGGTCAGAAGAACTCCTGGTCCAAGTATTCTCGACCACTCCTAGCCCACCAACTTTACTCACTAGCGCTAGTATTCTTTAATCAGCCTCTTTAGGCTCATAGTGAGTATTCTTTAACAAGCCCCTCCAGGCTTTACAAGTATTCTTTTCCTAGTCTCTTCAGGCTTTACAATATCAGCTAGACAAGTTTGGTTTGAGTGTATGGGTTACTCTCATATAGAGGATACATAGGGTTCTACACTCACTAAGGTTTCACTACCTTAGTCTTGCATGTATTCTTATTTTTTTGTTTACTCTTTACAAAGAGGATACATAAGATTACAACACTCACTAAGGTCTCATTCCTAAGATACACTTGGAGCACCTTAGACTACAAAGATGAATACAATGATACATTGTAGGTTTGACTATGAGGAATCGATCTCTGATT